CGGTTTAGGGCTTTTGATGGCTATGGAGGAGGGAGAATCGTCAGGTTCGCTGCTTTGATCGTGGATTTTCCCGCGCTAGATCGCCTCCTCTGTCCAGGAATCGAGGAGGATGCGACGCCCGGCGAGCTGTATGATCCGCTGATCGACGATCACGACGAGAAATGGGCCACGGCGCAGCGGCAGGGGCGGAAGTCCGACGCGATTCTCAGCTGCCCGGCTTGCTTCACGACGCTATGCCTGGATTGCCAGAGGTGAGTGAGAATTTCGATCCGAGAGACAGAGATTTCGATATTTCTAAGGATTTCCCACTGGCCAGGCACGAAATCTACGTGACGCAGTACCGCGCGATGTTCGTGAGGAACTGCCGGGTGTGCGAGGACGAATTCGTGGAGGAATCCCGCGGCGATCGCAGGAAGAGCCAGAGGAAGAGGAAGCGCGAACCGTTATCATCGATCGCTACTCCCGCCGCTGCCGCTCCGACCCTGCGACGCGTGCGATGCGCTGTTTGCAGTGTGGAAGTCGGGGCGATCGACAGCGACGAGGTATACCATTTCTTTAATGCGCTGCCCAGCTACTCGTAAGAACCCTAAAAGAGAGTGGGGGGCGTAAAGGTCGTCCCGGCGGACTTTCCAAGCCGGAAGGTCCAGCGTGCGCAATTGTGGCACGGAAACCACCGGGGCCGGCTGACCATTCCAGCTCGGAATGTCCGCCGTTAGCTATGTGTATGTATGTGTACATGATGATGATGATGATGATGTACCAAGGGCACCCCATTTCGCCGTGATATTACTTTGATCGATAGGGAGAGAAAGGGAAGAAGCCCTCTTTTGGTGCCGTGGGCGGCGCGGGGCGCGATCGATCGATCCCGGCTGCTGGCTGCTCAGCTTGATCCGGCGCCGGGGAGCCGCGTTTCGTGTGCATCGGCGCGTTGAATCTGGTGGTAAGTGGTGGCTGGAGGAGAGCATTTGGTAAGAAGATCGGTTAGGGTTTAGAGATCGGGGCGTAGGATCGCAGGATTTAGGCGCTGCTGCTGGAAATCCAGGCCGCGACTCTCTCTTTTCTCCTTTTTTCCTTTCTTCTTCTGGCGGACAGTGCATGGGGTACTAGGTGATGATCTTACTAAGAGGCTATTGCATGGGTGAAGGATGCCAGAGCTCCGTAGAGGAGCACGCCAAGGCGGCAACAACAAGAGCAACAATGCTACTGACGGTGGCGGCGACGCCGGCAGTCCTTCCGGCCGGAGGGCTTCCCTGAGGAAATCAGCTACGCCGCTCTCGGTTAGAACAAGGGCCGCCACTGCCAAGGCCGCGGCATTGGGCGTGAGGGATTTAAACTTGGATGAAAGGGAAGGCCAGGCAGCTTTAGGAGCTCCTACTACGCAAGCTAGAGCTTATAACAGGCGCAGGGCGAAAGAGAAAGTGGTCGAGGCGGCTCCTCCACCTCCTCCTGTGGTTGCAGCTCCTTCTCCAGACTTGAACGTAGAGCGCGGGGTGGAAGAAGAGTTGCGAGCTCCAATGGATGAGGAAAGCGCTGGGAGGAGTGCTGCTGCTAGAGGTGGCGTTGCGGACGACGAGGTTCCAACAGCGCCACTGCCGGAGAATGTATGATTTTTTTCCATTGGATGTGGATGTAACTTTGCAATTTGGTTTCTTTTGTTTCCAGATACAAGTTGGTGGTTCTCCGGTCTATAGGACGGATAGGAAGCTGGGGAAAGGAGGCTTTGGTCAAGTTTACGTGGGTCGGAAGTTGGGGCCTGGTGATCTAACCGGTCCAAATGCTGTAGAGGTCGGTGGCGTTTCCTCTTCTTTTTTTGCTTATGCTGATTGTGTTATAACGCTCGTTTGCGCAGGTTGCTCTCAAGTTCGAGCATAGGAGCAGCAAAGGTTGCAACTATGGGCCTCCTTACGAATGGCAGGTTTACGAGTGAGTAGTTCTACCATGAGTCTTTTCTCTATAGTTTCTAAGTTTTGGTTGATAGCAACCTTGGAGGAAAACACGGGATACCAAAGGTGCACTTCAAAGGTCGCCAGGGTGATTACTTTATAATGGTCGGTGTTGGAGTTGCACTGTGTTTCTTCTACTGAAAGTTTTAAGTGACTGTTCTAGGTAATGGACATGCTTGGGCCTAGCCTTTGGGACATTTGGAACTC